GTTGGAGTCAGGCGCCTCGAATGCGAGTGCCCAGTGGACCACTCTTGGTAAGCAGGAATGGCGATGCGGGATAAACCGAACGCCGGGTTAAGCTATTGCCTTGGCTCAAGACAAAGATTGCGGAAAAAGACTGACGGACAAGTGAAATTGAGTTTTCCATTACGCCATAAAAGTGTTCCCAATAATTAAAATAAAACGGAATGATTTTGAGTAAAATATCAGGTCCAAGAATGGTCCTAATGAATTTCAGAAAAGATTTGTGACTTTTAGCAATTTTTCCATCTTTATTTATTACAGATTTGTAATCGATTGGTTTATTAGTTGTGGACAATAGCGTACGTTCCGACAATAGCAATAACAATTTAGAAAAGCGATCCGTACTTCGTACAATCTAACACGAGTAAAATTTGTGAATATTATTCAGCAAAATTTATGCTCTTATAACAATGTTTTTTGTTGAAAAGAACTTGAATTCTTATGAGTTGTCGCATGTTCACAAATCCTATATTCATTTTTAACATCGCTTATTTCTTTGATTTTAACAGATGTTACCGGCGGTTTTACTTATAGCTAGATAGATAGTCGCAACGACAATATAAGTTTGTTATGGAGTATATAATGCTCTCTCTATATCGACTGCTTCGTCTGCTGTTTATTTCAATTCTTACTCTCTTGAAATCAGATTCAAATCTCATCTTGTGCTGTGTTGGCCTTCATAAAGTTAAGTAAGTATACGATCGTGGTATTATATAACGTATGTTTCTATTATTTGATATTGTTAGATTCTCAAATGTTTCAAACCCGCAAAACATGCTGTTTCTTTCTCAAATGCTGAGCGATAACGTTAACATGGATTATTAGATAATATTGATATAAACATAATATATTAACGATTTCCTATCAACATAAGATAATCGCGAATTAAATATCCAATGTAACACGTTATCGATGTTCACGAGTTCAATTTATGTTAGATATCAATGTTATATTGGCAATTAAATTGGAAATCACTTTAAAATATTATTCTCTTATCGGGTGAAATCGATTTTGCGCTGTTTAATTGCGGACGAGAATATTTCTGTCCATAAGCGCTTTCTGAATTTTACCATCTCCATTGAAATGACTTTGCACATGTTAAAATTCTCTTGATTTATGGAATACATTTCAAAACTATGTCTAAAATTTGCTGCAACATATGATTATTTTCTCATCACTAGCTTACTTTGTAGGAAATGTAGGAAATGTCACCTTACTGAAAATGTATAAGAAATTCTCACACTCAATATACCGGTAATATATATATATGATATGGAACATAAACATGGAACATTGTCATAATAGAAAAACAATGAAATAAAAATTGTGACAGACTACAATGCTCTTAGTCTTTTGTCCGGGTTTGTTGCGCTTGAATCCGTGGAAGCAAATTTGATGAAAGTTGGGCTTGACATCAATTCAGATTGTCGTTTGACTGTCGAAAAAGTTGAAAAGTTTTCTCGAAGGTGGGTTGGGTGGTGAGCTAGATACCGATCTTTTTCATCCTTCTTCTAAAATGTTAGGTTCAAAATATAAGTACATGCCTGAACTAGGATTGTTTATCGAAAATAAAAACTAATCAGCTACATAAACCTTTACTATCCATTCTATGATTTGGTAGATGAAAAATTAACAAGTTTGACTTAGAAGATATAAAATAGGGGAAAAAGTACTACGGCGAGTTCTTATATATATTTATTATATCCGTTTATAAATTCCCCCTCTGTGATATCACTTAGTTATATCGTGGTAGTTTAGTATATTCTAGTTCATGAAAATATTTTATATTTTTTTTACCTTCAAAACCCGGTGGTCATTGTGAGGACTTGGTATATCTTTGAGCAACAATAAAATTGGTTTGATCTTTGGTGTATTTCCCTGTGAAGAACGTAATGTTGATCGAACAGTGCGGTTTCCGCTACGGGGGTCAGAGGTTTTTAAGTCCGTCATTCGAATAAGACACTTTTCGTTGAGTATATTCGATTTCATTCCATAAGAAAATCTAGAAACAATGACGATTTAAATTAGTAGAAGATATTTTTCTCACACAAAGGAATTGTGAATTATTTGCAAGATGGTTACAATCTGGGAAATGAAAACAAATTACCTGTACAATTTGCTTGAAGCTGTGAATGTTTCTCCGAGCCATTTTCCATAAACATCTTCTATGATGTGATTATCCAGAAACTTTTGTAGCAGTTTCATCGTCTGTAATACAAAACATTCAATCATACAAAATACTAATTTGAAGAACCCATTGCTCACAACTTTATAGTCTATAATCTATATAGTCCATGAAAAATTAAAGAATATAAACAACTAATTATTACCTTTTGTCTTGTAGCGTTTTCTGTTGAACTTTCACAATGAACTAACAACTTGAACATTACATTCTTTGCCTCACTACCGGTAAAGCACTTTTCAAACTTTCGTATATGTTGTCGGTGAGTTTTACAGTGTATAGTTGCTTAAACGACAGTATGAGTTTGTTTCAAATATTGGTTGCTCGGTATTTCTGCTCCTTTTTCTGTTGTTCGCTATTATTTGATACATTTGCGAAATCACGTTGAAGTCCCATTGTGCTGTGCTGCGTCGATGTGTTGCAATTGCGCACTGTTACTTTCATTGGTTTGCTCGTGTTATATACAATAATGTTAAACTTTTTTTTATTTTATAATAACATCTCCTCAAATGCTTCGAATCCGCAAATGCTTCTTCCTTCATTATATCTGTATCTTAGTCTGTATCTTAGTGATAAGGTCAACATTGATTAATTTATAGTAATAGTATTCACAGCATAGTGGATAAGCAACTTCCGATAAAGATAAGACAATGGTAAGTTGATAATCAAAAGTATCATTTTATCGAAATTATATCAATTATATTCATAGCATTAATTACAGTAAATAACAAGATTTTCATATTTGTTCTACAGGCGAGGAAAATTATCAACTTATTATCCTAATCATGCGATGAACCAATGTCTTGAACCAGTGATAGTCCAAGGACGGCATTAGAATAGTTTTTATACTCAACGGTTAAGCTCCATATATGCTCATTAATATACAAGAACAAAATTGAATTTAAAACCAGGCTGAAAAAAAAACAGTATATATATATATATGTATGTATAAATTATCACTGTATTTACAAGTTTGCCACAAAATATTAGTATGGTGGTGGCAAACATCTGCACATTTGTTATTCGTGGTTTGTTAGTAAGAGAATTTATCACATTAAAGACTTGGCCATTTTCATCTACCTTTATAGAGTTTCAGCATATTGGCTACATGTCAACTCAGCAGAAAGTTGCCCTTTAGTTACAGTATACAGGCTTATATATATCAATGTGTCTTTGTATTTGCGGATGATGCGAAACTCGCAAAGATGGCGCACACATACTGTAAAATTGACTATATATATAAGATAGCAAGGTATGGACGCAAAGGCGCGGTTGTATCTGAACGTTCACGCCCGAGCAGTCTAGCTAGGCAAAAAAGCGTGCTCGTGAACTAAACAGAAAGCAAAAAGAATCCAGAGGATTTGGAGATATCGGTTTCCATGAGAATCATGGGGAAATTTAAAAATAAATATAAAGATGATAGGAGGTGATAGCAATATCTTTAACTACTGAAAATGTGAAATCAGTTGATTCACAGTTCATTCTCAACGAATTCGATCATTCCATGAAAAGTTGTAAATGTGGGCACATAAGAAATAATGGTACTCCTGAAGTATGCGCACCAAGATGTCACATAAACTGAACCCCAACCTGGTACACAATCTGAGTTCAGGTTGTGCGCATACTTCAGGAGGTCCGAAATAATTTCATTGGAAATCGAGTAAAATACAAGAAATGGACAAACAACGCGACCAATGGTCCTACCGCGTTCAATTTTTTGCTTTTGCGATTTTTTGCTTAAAAACTGATATATATATCGACTATATGTGAACTGTAAACCCTTCTTTCACTATCATGTTATTTTAATGTATCGCATTGAACAAAAATATAAAATTTATGGCGCTTCAGAAGTGTGTGCACCAATATGGAGGTAACTATTTTTGTTCGCCTACTTTACATCAAAGGGACTGAAACCTATGGGCAGGGGTTATGTTCACTTGGCTAACACAGACAGTCCCCGAACTCGTGATAGAACTAAAACAAGGAAAATCGGAATCAAATTAAGGCCTAATCTAACCTAGTACACACACTGTGGGAATGTCAAATTTAAAAATCCCGACAATGCAAAACAATGCCATTAAGATACTCATACGGAAAATCCATTTGGTGGGGGTGCTGCATATTATGTGCCACAAGCGAACGTAGAGAAAAAATGAAATCACATCGTTTAGTTTCTTCACATACATCGTAGCTATACGCAATACTGTGTTGTCTCAGATGAATCGTAACAACAAGACCGGAGCGCGTATTGATTATATCTCAATGCCCTTTCATCGCTTCTCGACTATTCAGCATTTAAGAAACATGTTAATTGTGAAAATAGCAACTATAAAATCGGTGCTAACAAACAGGGAATATAAATTCCATTCTTGTGGTCACAGCTCACGTAGGAATATAGGAAACGAAATAGTGGGTAATCTGACAAAAGGAACAATCAACAAACGTTTCATTCATGCAATGCTTCCACTTTCGGCCCTAAGAAGCAAAATCCTATTTTGATACAGTGGTTCGAGTAAAATGGATAGGGAATATGTTAATAGCGATGCAGTAAGCCATAATAAAAGATTTTATCCCACCACGATGTACGAATCGTGACTCGGCTTCTGTTTTGTTGATTGTACAATTGGAATCAAAACCTGAAACAGAAAGAATTATTCATTATTACAAGTAAGTATACAATGAATCACTGACTTACCAGGAATACGATAATTGTCCGTAAATAATCGCTCTGTAATAATCCAGAAGTTTAAAATAGCTCAATCAAATTGTAATAAGTGATGACCAAGAACAAGTTCACATGCAACACGTTTATTTATAAGGCTTCAAGTTAAACTCGGCTTTCAGATTAAAACGATCTGTTCCAATTTGGTTTCAGTTTCAAAGGCAAGTAGCCATGGAATACTTATTTAAAGAAATTTGATTCTATATAAATTTTTGTTTTCTAACGCTTACAGTTCACACATATTTGATATACATATTAATTTTTAAGCAAAAAAATCGAACGCGGTACGATGATTGGTCGCGGTGTTTGAAATACTCATTCAATTTCTTGTATTTTACTCAATTTCCTATAGAAGTATTTTTTATGTGCCCCCAATTACATCTTTTCATGGAATGATTGAATTTGTTGAGAATGACCTTGAGAGAGGCATGACGGCGGTTTGTGGACATTCCGTCGTGTATTATCGTATGTTTATTTTAGGTAAATATGAAAAACTCTTTTTTGTGACAGTTCAATGTGAATAAAGTCAAACATTCCACCCAATAAATGGGCACGTGTAATAAGAAAATGAACGAGTCGCAAATTTGAAAATTCTGGGAACCTCGGGTTTACAGTTATTGGATTCTCATCAGTCAGGTAATGGGATATTAAAAAATATTTGTGCCGATACTGAAGTGGGCCCGAGAGAGTTCTCATGGGAAGTTTAGGCTAAATTCTTGCTGTTGTTGTTGAGTTGTAAAAAAAACAATTCGTCGCAACTTATGGACCAACTGATTTCACATTTTCAGTAGTTAAAGATAGTGAGGCGTACTGTCGTGCTATCACCTTTATATAATTTATTTTCAAATTTCCTCTGATTCTCGTGGGAACCAATATTTCCAAATCATCAGAATTTTTTTTCCTCTTTGTTTAGTTCACGGGCACACTTTTTTGTCTAGGCGTGAACGTTCAGATACATCCGCGGCCTTTGCGTCCACATATTGCTTCAAAGCTCTCCTTTGAATATTTGCTATTACCACCAAGATCTGTACCGACGGCTGCTGCCCGGGCATAACAATTCGACCGCTCTGCTTGGCCAACAAGAGACTGTGCCATGTTTAACTGATGTTCATATGAAACCCTTCTCCTATTCAACTTTCGAATCTCTTATTTGAATACATGCTACTACCCCCAAGACCTGCACCGACGGCTGCTGTCCGGGAAAAACAATGCGACCATTATGCTAGGTCGACAAACGACTGACCCATGTTTAACGCTGTTCACATGGAAGCCTTCTCTTCCTCGAACTTCAAAGCTCGCATGTGATCATTTTCTTTTACCACGAAGATCTGCACCGATTGCTGCTGCCCGTGCATGGCAATACGACCGTCTGCTAGGTCGACAAGCGACTGACCCATGTTCAACTGCTGTTTAAATGAAACCTTTTTTTTTTTTGTTCTTGTCTTACCTTTCAAAGCTTCTCAATTTGAATATTTGCTTCTACCACCTGCAAGATCCGCACCGAAAACTGACTGCTCCATGTTCAACTGTTGTTCACATGGAATTTTTGCCTCTTCTACCTTCAATACGCTCTTATTTGGATTTTGCTTACTACCACCGAAGATCTGCACCGACGGGTGCTTGCCCGAGCGTGAACCAATGTGATCCGTTCTTGGCAGGGCCGACAAGCGACTGGAACCTATGTTGAAACTGCTGTTCACATGTAACCCTTTATCTCTTCGACCTTCAAAACTCTCATTTGAATATTTGCTACTACCATCAAGATCTGCACCAATGGCTGCTGCCCGGGCATAACAATGGCGACCGTTCTGCTAGGCCGACAAGCCACTGCCCGATGTTCAACCTTGCTGTTGCAAGATGGAACCCTTCTCCTTTTAGACCTTCAAAGCTCTCATTTGAATATTTGCTACTATCACCAAGATCTGCACCGACAGCTGCTTCCCGCGCAGAACAATCCGACCGTTCTGCTAGACCAACAAGCGACTGAACCATGTTCAACTGCTGTCCACATGAAAGCCTTCTCCTATTCGACCTTCAAAGCTTTTATTTGAATATTTGCTACTACCACAAAAATCTGAACCGACGGCTGCTGCCCGGGCATAACCATCCGATCGTTCTGCTAGACCGAAAAACGACTGACCCATGTTTAACTGCTGTTCACATGGAACCCTTGTCTTCTGCGACCTTTGGAGGTCTCATTTATATATTTGCTACTACCACCAAAATTTGCACCGACGGCTGCTGCCCGTTGTGCAACCGTTGTGCCGTAAATATATACTACTACTAGATGTCCAACTCCGCTCGCCGTAAAATAAACAAACAAAGGCGATGTTGCACCTCCAAGTGGCGGGCGTCACGGTTGGTTTTGTTCAGACTAGTTCCTTAACGACGACGACGCTCCTGCATCACAGCTCGAAAACTAGCCCTGTTCATTGATGACTGATCGAAATATTTGCTGAAGGACGAAGAAATTAGATAAAAATGAACAAATAATTGTGAAAATGAAGACAAAGTCTGTCTTGCAAATGACCAGAATGATGTGACAACTTCGTTGTCGAAAGAAAGCAAGGCATCAAAAATGCGATGCATTGCAAAAAATGTCAGTCAGATGTAGGTAAAGTGGTGACGAAAATGAATACTTTGCACTTTATATAAAAAAAAAACGCTCAGTAGCACAGCATTTTGGTCTCATTCCATCTCAAGTATTGTAAGTTTCACAGAAGTTTTTTCTCCACTCGACATATAATCAGGGCTTGCTTCCACAACGTCCTTATTTTTAAGAAACGTCTTTATTTTGACGTGTGTCCTTATTTTTAACTTTATAAATGAATATACCAGTAAATTAAACTTTGAATTTAGTTTAGATCTGGAACTTCATGAGAGATAAAATGAGTAAACGTTAAAAATTTGCTGTGATGATTATGAGAAAGAATTCAACGGCGTCGAATGAAACGAAGGGCCAGTGATTTGCGCACTGCAGCTTTTGTGAATGTGACAACAATCTGGAATGCATAGGTAGAGCAGCAATTTCTGTTAATAATGCAACCCAGAAACACAAGGCTCTGCTCAAGAAATATATCAAACCAATCTATAAATAACTTTTTTATAAGAGTCAATGACTATACAAAGGCTATCTCAACACATGCAAGAAGCTGAAATTTATTTCCATCATCACATCATTGAACATCTGACACTTGATATAAAAATAAAAATATTTTCAAATCATTCATGAGCGAATACCTATTAAACAATGTAACTGAATGTGAAGATGTAACACTACTTGAGAAAGTATTCAAAAAATTTGAGCAAATGTATACGCAAAGTACTGCAGTCAAAATAATAACAACAAGATGGGCAATAGGACTCGTGGAATACGAAACCAATTGAAGAAACACAGCAGCTAGAACGAAGATTAAGATGTATGTGATTACAGTCATGTTTCCGTACTCCTGAAGTATGCGTACCAAGAAAGGAGGACACCGGAACGTAGTATGTGTACCACGTTAGGGTTAGGCCAAAATTTCCTTATTTTAGTTCTATTACGAGTTCAGGGACTAACCAAGTGAGTTTCGTAGTATTTGTACCTAAAAGTATGGCCTAACCTGGTACACGTATTTCTGGAGTAACCAAGCTTTTTTCTCAATAATCCATAGGAATACAAATTATTATTTTAATTACTAATGTGAATAAACACTGTATATCAAGTTACATTAATAGTGGTATTGATGTTTTTTAAGGCTTTGGGAGTGGTTCTTTGCTGGAGTAAAAAGACAATTTAGGGGCTATCACGTGGACATTGCTACATATTTCTTTTTCTTTGCTGGTTTTCAATCGACTGGAGCACCGATGGATTCCCAGCCCCGCGACCTGCAAAATATGCATCTTTTGAACTGAAAATCTTTTGGCAATTCATTCAATATTTAGGGTGAGGCCCTACGGGCATAGCTGAAGATTTTGAAGGGGGGGGGTCTGAAATCTTTAATTGACAAGTTAGACCAAAACACCTAGCAGGTCTGATCGCAAATGTTAGTTTATAATAGTCCCGGTGGTCTAACTCTAAAAGGTTTTTCACACCAAGAAAAATTTATATGTATGATATAGTAGAACAATTTGAAGACTTTTATCTCACACTTAAAGGGGGGTCTGACAGATGTTTGGTCTAATATGGTACATCACATGTTGAAGGTACCAGTATTTGAAGCCCTTCATACTCTGGAGAAGCAATGGAATGTTGTTGTTTTTTAAATATGACTACAGAATGTGTTGCATGTAGCTGTATAGCATTTATTTTGTTAAAAAATCCTTGAGCTAATCACCTGCTGTAGACTTCCAGTGTGTAAAATAATTTATGAAATTTTAGCTGATCTACTGCAGTCTTTTGTCTCCAGATGTTTCAGAGAGTAGTAGTAGATTTCCGTCTTTGAGGGAAGCCACGTCAGTAGTGCTGTTGCATATGTCAAAAAAGGTATTTTGCAGTTTGCAAAACTTGGCGTTGCTTCAAATCCAGACATCTCCGAAATCCTAGCAACAGATGCAGGAAGAACCTACAAAGAAAAATTTCCCCTGTTCATCTGTTATTAATGACTTGAATACTGTTGGTAATTTTAGAAATAATAATCATGCCAAGTATTCAAATGTTCAATAGAAGATAGATCTAATAGGAAAATACAAATGAATTAATACCCAAAACAATTCTTTGTGCTATACCTGTGCTTGATATTTAACAGACATTTTTATCAAGCTATTGAGTTAAACATGTTGGTCTGTTAGTTTACATGGCTGTTTCAAATGTTTTTTTAGACATATCTTCATAAATTCCCTCTAGATGTGTTTCCATGCCAAAACCCCATCTGGTGACAGCAAATCATTCTTCAAAAGTGAGTTTTGAGACGTCTGCAAAAATGTATATTTTAGTTACGATATTTTGAAATAAATTGCCCACAATGATTGAAGCTTGTCTACCATCTAAGCATGTATGTGTTTATATATAAGTATAACAGCCATTTCGACAAAGTATTATTTGAAACAAAAATGTAAATACCCCACAAAACAAATTGGAATTAATAAAATGTAACGGTTCCAGGAGAAATATTAATGCATTCAATAAATGTGGTGGAATTTGCAGTAGCAAAAAAGTTATTGCTATTGATGACAAATCAATAATTTAAAAACACTCGACAAAATAATTCAAAACTTTTTGGCACATCTAAAATTATAAATATATATATATGTTGAAACCATGTTTAGATAATGGCAATAATAGGTATCCAATTTATGTGAAAAAGGTTATTAGTACCAGCCTGAAATCAAGCAAAATGGATTATCATGGCACACGCAAAACACCTCTTATGTTGTAATATGCAGCTGGTGACTTCGTATACAATGACAGAATGAGTTTGGGAAAAAATTATCAAGATCAGTAGAACTTCATCATAAAACGCTAATTAATTCAAGTTAAAATATGTGTATTTAATATATTTTTTTCATACAGACGTCACAATTTCAATCACCCATCAGTCAATTTATATTCTTGCTTACTGCTTTGATCACACAGCATAAATTCTCACACTGCAACTTTTTTTTTATCCCAAAATACACATATCTCTTATCAAAATTTACATTCCTTGACAAATCATTACTGTATTTGGTACCTATAAGAACATTTACAAATTCCTTTTTTTTATGCTGAACAATCGTAGCACAAAGCGGCTCTCTACTAGACTACATCTACTCATGGGAGCTTTAAAGTGAATTTAAAATCTTACTGTCAATGTGCTTTCGAGTGCTGAACCGGTCCTAGGGCCTTCCCACTTCAATTGATTGTTTCTCTATTTTGTTTTGTAATCTGCATTCTATCAGTTCTATAGTCAAGTATATCGTGTAATAATCCATGTAAACAACTAACTTGAATATATATATATTTTTAATCGGATAATATAATAAAATATAACCAAAAGTATATAACCATTCGAGCGATCATAAGATGAATAATCCAATATTCATTTTTCATATGTCCATTTCATCAGTGTTTGAGGACGAGGTGTTGATCGCATCGGCATACAATTCATCAATTTTTAGTATATTCAAATATATTATGTACAATAAAAGTAAAAAATTAAATATATTAGACATGTTCATTTTTATACATACTGAATTTATACACGCTTGATTTATAGTTCAAATACAATTCCTTAGTATTTCAAATTCTCTGACAAAATTTGGTGATTTTCTATTTTTTTCAATGTTGAGTCTGTAAGTGATTGCTTAAGACACTCACCCTTGAGTGGTACATACCATATATGCACATTCTCCTATAAACTTGACTATTTCTCCCATTTATAGTATGTGGTATCATTATTCGAGGGTGCTATATGTCCAAATGTTATTCTCGTGTATATATATTATGTAAATGTGTATTATATTTCATGTTGTATTGTCTCTATTTATTGATGTTGTCTTGTCCTACCAACTCCTTTGTACAAACAGTTGGGCATACTCCACCGTTACTCATGTTGCCTAATCCACCCTCCTCGCACAACTGTCTGTATGAACGACAATATTATACTTATTCGATTTATTGCATTTTATGCTTATCATAAGGGGTGTATGCCGCACGTTCATGTGTTTTATGCCAGTATGGTCTTGTGTATACATCCCGTCTTCAATGTTGATATTTACTAACTCCAGTGTTTTTGCTTTTACGAGACGAATAAACATACATACATCGGAAATACTTTTGATAAATATAGAAACTGCGGCAACACCTTTAATTTTACTAATATACATTTGCCTTCTAAAGTCAACTTGATATCTTGTAATTCTCTTACTTATTTATCTCTTATTTATCTACTTATTTATCTCTTACTTATGTATAAGTCACTCACTTAATCTTGACGCGAGACAGCGCCGTCAGAACACAGAAAAACGCAGGAAGTCGCACGATGATTTTCGAAGCAATAATAATCTGTCAGAACCAAGTCAAGCATGTCGGGGATTCAACATCGGGAGAAATTTCCGGAGTTACACGGGGTTGGTTGTGCTAGGCCGACAAGCAACTAACCCAAGTTCAAATGCTCAGTTGAAATTCTTGGATCGGCGGAAGACGAACTACTGCTAAAGCATTTGCCAAGAATGTTTTCTTCAAATCAAGAGCAAAAGTCAAGGGTTCGAAGACGATCAGATACCGTCCTAGTTCTGACTATAAACAATGCCAACTAGTGATCGAGAAGCGTTACCATGACGACCTTTCCGGCAGCTTCCGGGAAAATAACGTTTTTATGATCCGGGGGAAGTATGGTTGCAAAGCTGAAACTTAAAGGAATTGACGAAAAGGCACTACCAGGAATGGAACCTTTGACTTAATTTGAGTCACCCGGCCCGGACACAGGTAAGATTGACAGATTGAGTGCTCTTTCTCTATTCTGTGGGTGGTGGTGCGTGGCTGTTCTCAGTTTGTGGGGCAATTTGTCTGGTTAATTCCGATAACGAACGAGACTCTGGCATGCTAAATAATCACTCGATCTTTTTGATAGTCGTCTAACTTCTTAAACGGACTAGTGGCGTTTAGCCTCACGAGATTGAGCAATAACAGGTCTGTGATGCCCTTAGATGTCCGGGGCCGCACGCGCGCTACACAGTGAAGCAGCGAGTGTCTAACCTAGGCCGAAAGGTACGGGTAACCCGTTGAACCTCATTCGTAATTGGGATAGGGACTTGCAATTGTTTCCCTTGAACGAGGAATTCCCAGTAAGCGCAAGTCATCAACTTGATTACGTCACTGCCATTTGTACACACCGTCAAACTTGATCATTTAGAGCAGGGATTCTCAAACTCTTTGTGTTGCGGAGCCCTTGAAAATGTTGACTACTATTCACGGAGCCCCAAAAGAAATGTTAAAATTGTTACTTTCAGATTAATATTACTGAGCAAGGTAAAAGTACTTTACTCAATTTAAATGCTGAACCTTTTTTAATAGAGTTTATACAAGTCATAAATAAATCTAAATTTTAAACCTAAATTATATATTCTAAAGCTGTAAATTTGACACTTGACAAACAAACTAATAAATTATGGGTCGAATCTTTTCCCTTTTGACATTTTTAAAGACTTAAAAGGCCGCTAATAATGTGCGCGATTGCATTTTGTTACAATCGTGTTACAATTTAATTTTTTCCTCAGCATGGCGTGTTTTTGAACCTTTAAACATATTTACACCAGTGTTTATTCTCCCTAAATCAAAAATTTTCCTCGGCATATAGTTGTTAGTTGTTACACAATGACGACGTTTATTGCTTTTTTTGTTCTGTGGGGAATTATAGGTTTAATGTGAAAAATATGTTACCATGTTATAGTCATCGGCGACGAAATGCTAAAAATAATAATTATTAAAGAGGTAAATCTGCAACTCAAATGTCTTGCTTGAAAAGCAGCATTCTAAAATATTAAAGCTAAAACTTAAAATGGGAGATCACACGTTTGGTTTTATCAGACTCACCTCAGATTGAAAACGCTTTTGTAGACATTGTAAATCACAAAATTTGGTATTATGTTAGGTTTTCATCGTAGTAACTGCGAAATCGAAACACAGTCAATGGTGCGCGTGATGTACCTTTCTCCCATTTTGAAACTACCGACGGAGCCGCACGCAATCAATTGTGCGCGCGATCCGCGATGTACATTTTTTTCATTCTAAAACTACCGACGGAGCCGAATGCAATAAAATAAATTTCAATTATTCGTATTTTGACCAGGCATTGTGATTTTTTAAACGGCGATATCTTGCTTAAAAATAATCTCAAGTGCGAAAGAACAAATCAAGTTTGGCAAATCTCAAGATCGCAAAAATACGATTCCAATTTATTTATAGTTGGCAGTTTATCACATATTTTATGTAATTTTAGAATAATAGTATTCTTACATTTTAGTAATCCTAATAGTAATCTCGAATCAAACGTGAGTAACGATGAGCACAGTTACATTATAACGACGAGACTAGTTAAATACTCGCATAGGTCATGGATTGTATATTTTAAGCAACAGAAATCTCGTTATCCGTTTTTTTAATCGCGAAGAATGTTGCGCGGAACCAACTCCCTCCTAACAATCCTGGCTGCGCTCCTGCTTATAAATAATGTCATTTTTCAATTTCACCTTTTTGCCATATTTCGAAAATATACTGTTGTCAGATTTTATCAAAGCTGTTATTGCTTCTTTGAACAGTTACAAAATTAGTCAGTATTTTGAAAAGTAATCGAATAGCTCGCGGAGCCCCTGGGTTTCTCTCGCGGAGCCCTGGGGCTCCGTACGGAGCACATTGAGAACCTATGATTTAGAGGATGTAAAAGTCGTAACAATGTTTCCGTAGGTGAAACTGAGGAAGGATCATTACCGAAGGTAGGCCCGAGCCAGGAGAGCTCGACCGACCGCACTTGTTTTCGGGTGCCGTCGAGAGGGCGGCCGTCAATCGAGGCAAACACACGCCCTGTGCGACGGTGGAGTTTGGGCACTGCGCTCGATGTGCCACCGCCCTCCCAAGGTCCCCCCAGCACGGCGGTCGATCGCCGCCGTTTGTTGGTGTTTTTGTGTCGTTGTTGACGATGGTGGTTTTGTGGTCCATCCCACAGTGTGATGTCCGCGCGCTTCGGCGCCGAGCGAAACGTCGAGGACGACTCTTAACGGTGAATCACTAGGCTCACGACTCGATAAAGGACGCAGCCAAGTGCGAGAAGTAATGTGGATTGCAGAACACATTGAACGTCGACCTTCTGAACGCGTGTTGCAGTCTCGAGTCAATCCCGGGACTGCGTCTGCCTCAAGGTCGCATTCGTTCTCGCCCGAGGAACGTCACCAGGCCTCTGTAAAGACAACCGGGCGTCGTCCCAAGTTGAAGCGGTCGCCGAGCTTTCTCGCCACGGCCGCTTGTCCCGTGCACCGCTGTCCTTCCGTTTGTTCAAGGGGCAGGTTCAGGTCGGTCGGTCCGGTTCCATTATCAGACCGACGTTAGGTCGAGGCGGCGACGGTACGCGCTCGTTCGGCGACGGCGGAAACGACTTGCAATGCCAGGTGGCTGGGCAGGCCCGCAAGACACATACGACTTGAGTTCAGGCAAGGGCACCCGCTGAATTTAGGCATATTACTAAGGGGAGAAAAAGAAACTAACAGGGATTCCTTGAGTAACGGCGAGTGAACCGGGAGGAATCCAGCGTTGAATCTGCGCGCTTCTTGAGCGCGCCGAGTTGTAACATACGGAAGTCCCAGCGCCGGTGTTCAGCTGACTGCCGCTTCGGTGGCGCGCCATCGACGCGCTCGGGGTCCGTGGCCACGTCAGCCATTCTCCAAACCTGTCTTGAAACACGGACCAAGGAGCCTAACATGAGCGCGAGTCGTCGAGTGGTTCGAGACTCTCAGGCGAAATGACAGTGAAGGCGGCCGCCTTCGGGGTCGGACCCGGAGCGCACGACCGGCCGATCGCATCCGCTCTACTGGGGAGGTCGCGCAAGAGAGTCCATGTTGGGACCCGAAAGATAGTGAACTATGACTGGGAAGGTCGAAGCCATGGGAAACTCTGATGGAGGGCCGTAGCGATTCTTAAGTGCAAATCGATCGTCCTATTTGGGTATAGGGGCGAAAGACTAATCGAACCATCTAGTAGCTGGTTTCTTTCTAAGTTTCGCTCAGAATAGCTGGCGCTTTGTCGCATTTTTATCTGATAAACCGAATGATTAGAGGCATTTGGGACGAAACGTCCTCAATCTATTCTCAAACTTTGAATTGGTAAAAAGCCCGGTTCGCTTAGTTGGAGTCAGGCGCCTCGAATGCGAGTGCCCAGTGGACCACTCTTGGTAAACAGGACTGGCGATGCGGGATAAACCGAACGCCGGGTTAAACTATTGCCTTGGCTCAAGACAGAGATTGCGGAAAAAGACTGGCGGACAAGTGAAATTAAGTTTCCCATTACGCCATAAAAGTGTTCCCAATAATTAAAATAAAACGGAATGATTTTGAGTAAAATACCAGGTCCAAGAATGGTCCTAATGAATTTCAAAAAAGATTTGTGACTTGTAGCAATTTTTTTCATCTTTATTTATTACAGATTTGTAATCGATTGGTTTATTAGTTGTGGACAATAGCGTACGTTCCGACAATAGCTATAACAATTTAGAAAAGCGATCCGTACTTCGTACAATCTAACACGAGTAAAATTTGTGAATAATATTCAACAAAATTTATGCTCTTATAACAATGTTTTTTGTTGAAAAGAACTTGAATTCTTATGAGTTGTCGCAAGTTTACAAATCCTATATTCATTTTTAACATCGCTTATTTCTTTGATTTTAACAGATGTTACCGGCGGTTTTACTTATAGCTAGATAGATAGTCGCAACGACAATATAAGTTTGTTATGGAATATATAAAGCTCTCTGTATATCGACTGCTTCGTCTGCTGTTTACTTCAATTCTTACTCTCTTGAAATCAGATTCAAATCTCATCTTGTGCTGTGTTGGCCTTCATAAAGTTAAGTAAGTATACGATCGTGGTATTATATAACGTATGTTTCTATTATTTGATATTGTTAGATTCTCAAATGTTTCGAACCCGTAAAACATGCTGTTTCTTTCTCAATTGCTGAGCGATAACGTTAACACGGATTATTAGATAGTATTGATAAAAACATAATATATTAACGATTTCCTATCAACATAAGATAATCGCAAATCAAATATCCAATGTAACACGTTATCGATGTTCACGAGTTCAATTTATGTTAGATATCAATGTTATATTGGCAATTAAATTGGAAATCACTTTAAAATATTATTCTCTTATTGGGTGAAATCGATTTTGCGCTGTTTATTTGCGGACGAGAATATTTCTGTTCATGAGCGCTTTCTGAATTTTACCATCTCCATTGAAATGACTTTGCACATGTTAAAATTCTCTTGATTTATGGAATACATTCCAAAACTATGTCTAAAATTTGCTGCGACATATGATTATTTTCTCATCACTAGCTGACTATGTAGGAAATGTCACCTTACTGAAAATGTATAAGAAAATCTCACACTTAATATACCGGTAATATATATATATATATATATATGATATGGAACATAAACATGAAACATTGTCATACTAGAAGAACAATGAAATAAAAATAAAATTGTGACAGACTACAGTGCTCTTAGTCTTTTGTCCGGGTTCGTTGCGCTTGAATCCGTGGAAGCAAATTTGATGAAAGTTGGGCTTGACATCAATTCAGATTGTCGTTTGACTGTTGAAAAAGTTGAAAATTTTTTCCTCAAGTTGGGGTGGGTGGTGAGCTAGATACCGATCTTTTTTCATCCTTCTTCTAAAATGTTAGGTTCAAAATATAAGTACATGCCTGAACTAGGATTGTTTATCAAAAATAAAAACTAATCAGCTACATAAACCTTTACTATCCATTCTATAATTTGGTAGATGAAAAATTAACAAGTTTGACTTAGAAGATATAAAATAGGAGAATAAGTACCACGGCGAGTTCTTATATATATTTATTATATCCGTTTATAAATTCCCCCTCTGTGATATCACTTAGTTATATCGTGGTAGTTTAGTATATTCTAGTTCATGAAAATATTTTATATTTTTTTTACCTTCAAAACCTGGTGGTCATTGTGAGGACTTGGTATATCTTTGAGCAACAATAAAATTGATTTGAGCTTTGGTGTATTTCCCTGTGAAGAACGTAATGTTGATCGAACAGTTTGGTTTCCGCTACGGCGGTCAGAGTTTTTAAGTCCGTCATTCGAATAAGACACTTTTCGTTGAGTATATTCGATTTCATGCCATAATAAAATCTAGAAACAATGACGATTAAAATTAGTGGAAGATATTTTTCTCACACAAAGGAATTGTGAATTATTTGCAAGATGGTTACAATCTGAGAAATGAAAACAAATTACCTGTACAATTTGCTTGAAGCTGTGAATGTTTCTCCGAGCCATTTTCCATAAACATCTTCTATGATGTGATTATCCAGAAACTTTTGTAGCAGTTTCATCGTCTGTAATACAAAACATTCAATCATACAAAATACTAATTTGAAGAACCCATTGCTCACAACTTTATAGTCTATAATCTATATAGTCCATGAAAAATTAAAGAATATAAACAACTAATTATTACCTTTTGTCTTGTAACGTTTTCTGTTGAACTTTCACAATGAACTAACAACTTGAACATTACATTCTTTGCCTCACTACCGGTAAAGCACTTTTCAAACTTCCGTATATGTTGTCGGTGAGTTTTACAGTGTATAGTTGCTTAAAGGACAGTATGAGTTTGTTCCAAATATTGGTTGCTCGGTATTTCTGCTCCTTTTTCTGTTGTTCGCTATTATTTGATACCTTTGCGAAATCACGTTGAAGTCCCATTGTGCTGTGCTGCGTCGATGTGTTGCAATTGCGCACTGTTACTTTCATTGATTTGCTCGTGTTATATACAATAATGTTAAACTTTTTTTATTTTATAATAACATCTTCTCAAATGCTTCAAATCCGCAAATCATGTTGCTTCTTCCTCCATTATCTGTATCTTAGTGATAAGGTCAACATTGATTAATTTATAGTAATAGTATTCACAGCACAGTGGATAAGCAACTTCCGATAAAGATAAGACAATGATAAGTTGATAATCGAAAGTATCATTTTCTCGAAATTATATCAATTATATTCATAGCAATAATTACAGTAAATAACAAGATTTTCATATTTGTTCTACAGGCGAGGAAAATTATCAACTTATTATCCTAATCATGCGATGAACCAATGTCCTGAACCAGTGATAGTCCAAGGACGGTATTAGAATAGTTTTTATATCCAACGGTTAAGTTCCATATATGCTCATTAATATACAAGAACAAAATTGAATTTAAAACCAGGCTGAAAAGAAAACAGTATATATATATATATATATATGTATAAATTATCACTGTATTTACAAGTTTGCCACAAAATATTAGTATGGTGGTGGCAAACATCTGCACATTTGTTATTTGTGGTTTGTTAGTAAGAGAATTTATCACATTAAAGACTTGGCCATTTTCATCTACCTTTATAGAGTTTCAGCATATTTGCTACATGTCAACTCAGCAGAAAGTCGCCCTTTAGTTACAGTATACAGGCTTATATATATATCAATGTGTCTGTGTATTTGCGGATGATGCGAAACTCGCAAAGATGGCGCACACATACTGTAAAATTGACTATATATATAAGATAGCAAGTTATGGACGCAAAGGCGCGGTTGTATCTGAACGTTCACGCCCGAGCAGACTAGCTAGGTAAAAAAGTGTGCTCGTGAACTAAACAGAAAGCAAAAAAAATCCAGAGGATTTGGAGATATCGGTTCCCATGAGAATCATGGGGAAATTTAAAAATAAATAGAAATATGATAGCAGGTGATAGCATTATCTTTAACTACTGAAAATGTGAAATCAGTTGATCCATAAGTTGCGACAAAAATTGTTTTTTCACAACTCAATAACAACAGCAAGAATTTAGCCTAACCTTCCCATTAGAACTCTCTCGTGCCCACTTCAGTATAGGAACAATTATTTTTTAATATCCCATTTCCTGACTGCTGAGAATTCAATAACTGTAAACCCGAGGTTCCCAGAATTTTTAAACTCGCGACTCATTCATTTTTTTGTTACAGGAGGAAAGTTTGACTTCATTCAAATTGAATTGTCACAAGAAATGTCCGCTGGCCGCGGGTCATGTCTCTCTCAAGTTCATTCTCAACGAATTCAATCATTCCATAAAAAGTTGTAAATGTGGGCACATAAGAAATAATGGTACTCCTGAAGTATGCGCACCAAGATGTCGCATAAACTGAACCCTAACCTGGTACACAATCTGAGTTCAGGTTGTGCGCAATCTTGGTGCGCATACTTCAGGAGGTCCGAAATAATTTCATTGGAAATCGAGTAAAATACAAGAAATGGATCGAGTTTTCCAAACAACGCGACCAATGGTCCTACCGCGTTCAATTTTTTGCTTTTGCGATTTTTTGCTTAAAAACTGATATATATATCGACTATATGGGAACTGTAAACCCTTCTTTCACTATCATGTTATTTTAATGTATCGCATTGAACAAAAATATAAAATTTATGGCGCTTCAATAGTGTGTGCACCAATATGGAGGTAACTATTTTTGTTCGCCTACTTTACATTAAAGGGACTGAAACCTATGGGCAGGGGTTATGTTCACTTGGCTAACACAGACAGTCCCCGAACTCGTGATAGAACTAAAACAAGGAAAATCGGAATCAAATTATGGCCTAATTTAACCTAGTACACACACTGGGGGAATGTCAAATTTATTAACCCTGACAATGCAAAACAATGCCATTAAAATACTCATACGGAAAATCCATTTGGTGGGGGTGCTGCATATTATGCGCCCCAAGCGAATGTAGAGAAAAAATGAAATCACATCGTTCAGTTTCTTCACATACATCGTAGCTATACGCAATACTGTGTTGTCTCAGATGAATCGTAACAACAAGACCGGAGCGCGTATTGATTATAACTCAATGCCCTTTCATCGCTTCTTGACTATTCATCATTTAAGAACATGTTAATTGTGAAAATAGCAACTATAAAATCGGTGCTAACAAAACAGGGAATATAAATTCCATTCTTGTGGTCACCAGCTCACGTAGGAATATAAGAAACGAAATAGTGGGTAATCTGACAAAAGGAACAATCAACAAACGTTTCATTCATGCAATGCTTCCACTTTCGGCCTAAGAAGCAAAATCCTATTTTGATACAGTGGTTCGAGTAAAATGGAATAGGGAATATGTTAATAGCGATGCAGTAAGCCATTATAAAAGATTTTATCCCACCACGATGTACGAATCGTGACTCGGCTTCTGTTTTGTTGATTGTACAATTGGAATCAAAACCTGAAACAGAAAGAATTATTCATTATTACAAGTAAGTATACAATGAATCACTGACTTACCAGGAATACGATAATTGTCCGTAAATAATCGCTCTGTAATAATCCAGAAGTTTAAAATAGCTCAATCAAATCGTAATAAGTGATGACCAAGAACAAGTTCACATGCAACACGTTTATTTATAAGGCTTCAAGTTAAACACGGCTTTCAGATTGAAACGATCTGTTCCAATTTGGTTTCAGTTTCAAAGGCAAGTAGCCATGGAATACTTATTCCAAGAAATTTGATTCTATATAACTTTTTGTTTTCTAACGCTTACAGTTCACACATATTCGATATACATATCAATTTTTAAGCAAAAAAATCGAAAAAAATTCTGGGAACCTCGGGTTTACAGTTATTGGATTCTCAGCAGTCAGGTAATGGGATATTAAAAAATATTTGTGCCGATACTGAAGTGGGCCCGAGAGAGTTCTCATGGGAAGGTTAAGCTAAATTTTTGCTGTTGTTGTTGAGTTGTGAAAAAAACAATTCGTCGCAACTTATGGACCAACTGATTTCACATTTTCAGTAGTTAAAGATAGTGAGGTGTACTGTCGTGCTATCACCTTTATATTACTTATTTTCAAATTTCCTCTGATTCTCGTGGGAACCGATATTTCCAAATCATCAGAATTTTTTTCATTTTTGTTTAGTTCACGGGCACACTTTTTTGTCTAGCTAGCTAGACTGCCCGGGCGTGAACGTCGACACATTGATATATTAAACCTGTATATTGTAACGAAAGGGCGACTTTCTGCTGAGTTGACATGTAGCCAATATGCTAAAACTGTTCTAATTTTGTTCTAATATATTAATGAGCATATATGGAACTCTAACCGTTGTATATAATAATAATTATTCTTATGTAGTCCTTGGACTGGGACTTGTTCAAGTCATTGGTTCATCATATGATTAGCATAATAAGTTGATAATTTTTCTCACTTGTAGAACAAATATGAAAATACTATTATTTACTGTAATTAATGCTATGAACATAATTGATACAATTTCGATAAAATTATATTTTCGATTATCAACCTAAATTATATTTTCGATTGTCTTATCTTTATCGGAAGTTGCTTATCCATTATGCTGTGAATACTATTACTATCAATTAATCAATGTTGACCTTATCACTAAGGACAGATAGTGGAGGAAGAAGCAGCATGATTTGCGGATTTGACGCATTTGGGAAGCTGATATTATAAAATAAGAAAAAGTTGAACATATATTATATAACACGAGCAAATAAATCATTAAAAGTAACAGTGCGCATTTGCAACACATCGACACAACACAGGCAAAAATGGGACTTCAACGTGATTTCGCAAAGGTATCAAATAATAGCAAACAACAGAAAAATGAGCAGAAATACAGAGCAACCAATATTTGGAACAAACTCATAATGTCGTTCAAGCAAGCTATACGCTGTAAAACTCACCGACAACATCTACGAAAGTTTGAAAAGTGTTTTACCGGTAGTGAGGCAAAGAATGTAATGTTCAAGTTGTTAGTTCATTGTGAAAGTTTAACAGAAAACGTTACAAGACAAAAGGTAAGAATTAGTTGCTTATATTCTTGGACTATATAGATTATAGACTATAAAGTTGTGAGCAATGGGTTCTTCAAATTAGAATTTTGTATGATTGAATGTTTTGTATTACAGACGGTAAAACTGCTACAAAAGTTTCTGGATAATCACATCATAGAAGATGTTTATGGAAAATGGCTCGGAGAAACATTCACAGCTTCAAGCAAATTGTACAGGTAATTTTTTTTTCTTTTTTCAAACTGTAACCATCCTGCAAATAATTTACAATTCCTTCGCTTGAGAAAAATATCTTTCACTAATTTTAATTGTCCTTGTTTTTAGATTTTCTTATGGAATGAAATCGAATACACTCAACGAAAAGTGTCTTATTCGAATGGCAGACTTTAAATACTCTGACCCCCGTAGCGGAAACCGCACTATTCGATCAACATTACGTTCTCCACAAGGAAATACACCGAGGCTCAAATCAATTTTATTGTTGCTTAAAGATATACCAAGTCCTCACAAAACCCACGGGGTTTCGAAGGTAAAAAAAAGATGAAATATTTCTATGAACTAGAATATACTAAACTATCACGATATAACTGAGTGATATCAGAGAGGGGGATTTATAAACGCATATAATGAATATAAGAACTCGCCGTAGTACTTATTTCCCTATTTTATATCTTCTTTGTCAAACTTGTTAATTTTTCCATATACCAAGTTATAGAATGGATAGTAAAGATTTATGCAGTTAAATATTTTTCCCGATACACAATTCTAGTTCAGACATGGTACTTATATTTTGATCTAACATTTTAGAAAAGGGATGAAAAAAGATCGGTATCTAGCTCACCACCCACCCCACCTTTGAGAAAAAGATTTTCAACTTTTTCAACTGTCATACGACATTCTGAATTGTTGTCAAGCCCATCTGTCATCCGCTCCGGAGTCAAAAGATATGCTTCCACGGATTCAAGCGCAACAAACCCGGACAAAAGACTAAGAACATTGTAGTCTGTCACGATTTTATTTTTATTCCATTGTTCTTCTATTATGATAATGTTTCATGTTTATGTTCCATGTTTATGTTCCATATCATATATTCATTACCGTTCTATTGAGTGTGAGATTTTTTATACAAATTCACTGAGATGATATTTCCTACAAAGTAAGCCAGTGATGAGAAAATAATCATGTGATGCAGAGGAAATTTTGATACATGCAAAGTCATTTCAACGCAGGCGGTAGAATTCAGAAACAGCTTATGAACAGAAATATTCTCGTCCACAATCAAACAGCGCACAATCGATTTCACCCAATAAAGGAATAATATAGTGATTTCCAATTTAATTACCAATATATCACTGATATCTAACATAAGTAGAACTCGTAAACATCGATAACGTGTTACATTCGATATTTGAATCGCGATTATCTTATGTTATTCAGAAATCGTTAACATGTTGTGTTTTTATCATTACTATCTATCAAAACCGTGTTAACGTTATTGCTCAGCAATTGAAAAAGAAACACCGTGGTTTGCTGGTTTGAAACATTTGAGAATCTAACAATATCAAATAACAGAAACATACGTTATATAATACCACGATCGTATACTTACTTAACTCTACGAAGGCCAACACAGCACAATCAAGATGGGACTTAAATCTGATTATAGGAGAGTAAACAGCAGACGAAGCAGTCGATATACAGAGAGCTTCTTATGTCCATATCAAACTTATATTGTCGTTGCGATTATCTATCCAGATATACGTTTTAAAACCGCCGGTAACGTAAGTTAAGTTTAAAGAAAACATAAGCGATGTTGAAAATGATTATAGGATTTGTAAACTTGCGACAACTCATATGAATTCAAATTCTTTTCAACAAAAACATTATTAAAATAGCATAAATTTCGCTGAATAATATTCACATATTTTACCCGTGCTTGATTAAAAGCGTTTAATTGAATTAAAGGCACACGGGATCCCATTTTATTGTAAGGATGATATCTCAACGCAATCATAGATATCATACTTACAATTATTCGAGAACTCGCATATATGGATATGAAGTATACGGATTATTTTGCTAAATTGTTATAGGTATTGTTGGGAAGTACGCTTTTGTCCGCAACTCATAAACCAATCGATTACAAATTTGCAATAATTAAAAAGACGGTAAAAATCGCTGCCGAGTACAAAATTTTTTTTTAATTTATTCGAACCATTCTTGGATCTAATACTTCACTCAAAACTATTCCGTTTTATTTTACTCAATGTGAACACATTTAGGGCGCGATGAGACACCTAATTTTACTTGTTCGCCAGTCTTTTCCCGGAATCTCTGTCCTGAGCCAAGGCGATAGCTTAGGACAGTAGTCGGCAACCACCGGTCCACGGCCCATCGCCGGTCCGCGGAAAGGTTACTACCGGTCCGCAGAAAAGTGACTCATAACGGACAAGGCCATAATAACACTTGTATAATTTAACAACACAAATCCGACAACAAGTTAGCACATCTTGTAATAAAAAAAAATTAGTTGTGGCTAAGCAAACATCAATAATGCAATTCTTGAATCTTGCGCACCAATATCTAACGAAAATGAGACTGTAGATATACCGGGAACATCATCCGAAGAAAAAAAATGTTCAATCGCAAGTACAGTAAATTGTATTTGTTATATATATGAATATATAGCCGTAAGTCAATGCAATGAAATTCGTCCAGTCTGCTAATTTGCGTACTTTGTCATATGTATAATTTAGGGATGCGACAAGATTCGGACTCGTGCTCGGATTCGTGGCCGATCATACGTCACGCGATAGTCAAGCGCAGACCGGTGGCGGATTAGACGAGAAATTCAACTTTTTCGTTCTGTTTTGCCACGAGACTGTCCAGCCTATTTTCTCTATGGTGAAATTAAAACTAGGCGCCAAAACTACAAATTCACGACGTCGTAAGAACTAAAAAACGTCAGCGAGAGTCAGCTGAATAAATTCCAGTGTTGCGTGTAGCTTGCCTTTCATTGCCAGACGTCGTTTAGTAAATGCTTACCACGTCCTATTTCAAGCATATACTTGATAATCCTCGAACAGTGATTAATCCGTAATCAGGGGTAACCATGTCGCACTGTTCGCCTTTTATCGAAGAATAGTTAGCTATTTTGTTACGATATATTTATAAGATACATTTATTCGATGCTTCCGCAGTTGGCAATTCTTTATTATTATCTCATTTGTCACGGAGATGGGCGTCTGTATCAGCGCCGACTGAAAAAGATAACATATAAGTAAAAGTTTCCCATAAAAAATTTGTTCTAAACGTGTGGGTTATGGCCCATATTTATCGTGACAGGACACGAGCGCGGCGTCGGCAGCAGTCGACGCGGCGGTAGATCAGAGTAACGTAACAAAGTATTTATTTCTTCAACGGGGAATAGGACCTATTTATACTAATTAAAACTAGCCGCTCAGCAAATGATTGTCTCGAAAGCAATAGTGTTTATGTGCAACGTTTTTAATTACATAGTCTTATCATACAGAATGAATATACGCGAACAACAGCATCACTTTATGTATTTATTTCGGAGCTATGTAAAAGTATTGGACTCGGGACTCGGACACGAGTCCAGCGCAAATACTCGGGATTCGGCCGAGCCGAACCTTTTTGGATTCGTCGCATCCCTAAATTATATATATATATACTAAGCTCTCAAATGAGGCAATGGAGCCCTCAAAACTTCTTCAAACGATGAGATTGTCTCGTAAACGACAGGATTGTCTTATATAGAGCAGTTGATTGAAATTTTAAATTATAATGAATTGAAAATAACACACGCGTTGTTACCTTTTTCTTTATGTGAGGTCGGGTTTTCAATATTAACTAGAAAACGAAATACCGAAGTAGGCTGGACGTAAGAAACCGTTTCGTGTATCACTGTCGCCCATGTCTCCGAATTGGTAACAGTTAAAAATTTGCAAACAAACGCAGATCTCGCATTAAATAGCATCACCTTTGTTTTGGAATATATTGTCAACTAAAATTTTCTAACGCGTAAAATTTATTACATAAGCTTAGTTCGGTTGTATAATGGTGGTCCGCCAAAATTTTGGTCAGGCTTTACCGGTCCGTCACTTAAAAAAAGGTTTCCGACCACTGGCTTAAGATATACCTTTCTGTTGATAATTGAATGAATATTTTTTCATTTAAAAACGGAAGTCTCAGCTTTTTTCAAACACATGTCAGAATATTTTCAAGCAAAAACAAAAAATAAAATATGAACAAACGCGCTAAGTTTCATTTCTGCTGGAATCATAATTTGATGCGGTTGTTCAGTGGCCTGTATCACATTTCATATAGGCCCACCACAAAATATGTTACGGAAATAAAGCAATTCAGCCATAGTCTTATTGGTAATCATCAGTATGCATGTGCGTAGATATTATCACAGACTCTTTCATTTCCTGTGTTTCCTTGGCTTCGTATAATTTCGTCATCTTGGGCCTGAAAATGACACAATATGATGATATGGGCAACTGTATGGAAATTTGGCAATTTCACCAATTCTCAATGGATCGTTAGAATAGCAAGCATGTCATACTGAACAGAGATGTTACGATATTATAATCTCGGAAATGCCATGTCTTCAAGGCCAGTAATAATCAATACTGAATTTCGCCTCATTTCGGTCAGATTCATCAAATAGCGTGCTTTGTAAAGCTCGGTTTGAATAATATTACAAGCACCCAATCACTTTCATTTTTTCTCCAAAATCGTTTGGCTCAGTCAAAGTTCATCTCCATTGTATTTCATCAATTCAACCTGTCAGTTTACGGAGCTTCCTTTTCACAAATGGGATGAAAAGGTCATTGGACGTAATGATCAAATGACGAAACAAAAGAATGCGGAAGCAATCGCGCTAGAAATAAACCGGTTCATATAGGAAATGAATAGGTTTACTGGTATATTAGTGAGTGAATATGTAGTCTGTCAGAGCGATCGAGCTCATATCCAGCACGGTTGTTTTAGCGAGCCATAATTTCGATAAAAACCATCCGCAAAGCGTATTCCCGGGACAGACCCAAAATATTATTTCACATCCTAAGCATGAAAATTGAATAAATCAAATATATTGAGTGGAACAACATCTATGATAGCGTATGTGATCTGTCGTACAGTTTTTGACTTGGAATCATGTTTAGGAAACACGTTTGATTTCTTATTTCAATGTCAGGTCAACGGTCCTTACAACACCGGCAACAAAATGTAAAATTCTTTTATTGACAACAAAATGAATAACGTCATTTTGAAATTTAAAGTTTAATATTTATCTTTGTTCTTACCATGCTATATAAAATATTCTGCTCCAAGCTTGATTGCCGCTGTGTCCGATGTGAAACTTCATTTCTTGAGTTAGTCTTCCGATGTTTCCTGAATTACAATCCAAATCTTAGTTTTAATAACGCTGGGAAAGGCCTTCTCGCCATACCTCGCAGTAACCTCATATAAATACACTTCTTTGCAACATACTTGAAAAACCTTTATCGAAATTTGTTTAATATATGCTAAAATATTAATCCGAAATATGCGTGGCTGCACTATTTTAGATAAGCGTCTAAACATGCGTTGGTAATTACCAAAAAAGACTAAAAGAGACGTGGTGTTGTGGAAAATAGATATGAGTATAATGAGGCAAGTAGGAAAGCAGCTGTGAGTAAAATATATTAACTTATCATCCAACTATTATATGTAATCCGTAGTCATATTTAAAACAAAAGGTCAACTACTAGGCATGAGAAGAATTAGTGTTGACCGATGTTATTGAAAGTCTTACTGAGCTACAGGTGTAACGGCCATGCTATTTTGCTCTAATGTTTGATGTTGCAACTTTTTTGTTCGCTTCCCTTTACAAACCACTTTGCCTTTTTATGTGAAAAGCGCTTCATTTTTTTTTGGCCGTAAAAGTTTAAACAATGAATAGTCGAAAAATCCTGAAAATCGATCTATACCCACCTTTTTAACATTATTATATAGTAAAATTCTATAACGCATAATAGGAACATTGCCGCTCCTACACATATAAAGGCCATTTTTAAATTATCATCCCCATCGTTTACCATGTCGTATCCGGAACCCGGTAACATTTTGCACTCTGAAAATTTTAAAAATATTTATCAATCATTTAGCTAATAATCAGTCAATCGGAATCTGTTTCGCATTCTCGTACTATTCTTTATATCATATTCATTTTGATTTTTTTTTGTTTAACGCTACTAATTAATTAGTGACGCACCTGCCCCAATCTTATATTATTGCATTTGTTTTTTATACAAGATATATGATTCTGTCAGCTTCATTGCGCAGAAAATACTTTATTAAAACGTTATTATTAAAATTTGTTATTAGGACTGACGCTCATACCATAGTTTTCCAGTATGACTCCATAATGTCTTGGGTCGTTAAATTCTACATCTATCCACTTTCCATTGAGAATATTCATTGCAACATAAGCGTATTTTTCTTTAGATGGATATCCATATTCCCAATTTGAAAATTCAGCTTGAGAATTATCATCTCTTTTCAGAGTTCCATAAAAATTGATTAGTCCTAGCCAAACATAGCAATTATCAGTAGAGTTTCCGCCTGGTTGACAATTTGTTCGGTTAAGAGAAGTACTGACAATCTCCAGAATATAGTTGTTGCTTTGTATATCGTTTGGGACAGCAGGTCTCCACCCTAGGTTGTTACATTGTGAAGCAATTAAAAATCTCATGACATGCGTTGCATAGGCTGTATAGCATTTATTCTCTCCGACACTCACTGAAAAATATAGTTATTGGGCATTTGAATATTAGTTACCATCTATATTTTACCAAACTCATTTAGCGTATAAAAATTTCCTGGCTACCTCTAACTGCAAGAATTATGTCCATTTTATTTGTAGCCTATAAGTGAATGCTTGTCCAAAGCTTTTTATGAACGACGTTATTATTTTACATTTTATTATTTTATAAGCCGTGGTTAGCCATATAATTAAGCTGTCTTATCGGCTTTTGCTTGTCTCCGGGTTGAATATGAAAATCTTATCCTAAACAATAAATTTGGCAAGATATTAGGCAAAAAAATCCCGGCACCACAAGCTTTATTAGCTCTTTTGCCCCAAGCTGAAGATTACCCAACGCCTTATTAAAGGCATTACGCCTCATTTACACCACAATAACCTATTTATTGATAATATGATACAGAATTGTACGTTGGATACGATCAGTGGAGAGTAGAAATGGTATATCACTTGAAAGGTAATAACATTTAATAAATATATATTTTAAATATTTATATATACAAATCCGTGGTCATTTTCAGGCAAAATAAATTAATTCAGGTTTACTCACGCCAGATTGCCGGTTTACACTGTCCGACGAGGAAAATAAATATTGCACATATTATACTTAAGTATATCTTCGTCGCCATCATAAGAACGTGCTGCTAATATGACTGCATGTTATTCTGTAAACGCTTATCAAAACGGAGCAACGTTAGTGACGTTATTTCACTGCGGGGGAGATTGATTCTAGCTCACTTCCTCTTACTGGTAATAAACATATCTTACTATGTAAATGGCGCTAAAGCGTGTATAATTTGGACCAATTGTTTGACCAGGTTTTTTGTAAAGTGCGCTTTTTGTAACAAACTTGGATTGACTTGGTTACTGATCAATGATCAACTCAATGATTAACTGTTTTTATATTTGAATTTTGTAGACTGGTACTTCCACCAGTTAATTCTTGCCCAACTGCTTGGTTTTTATGATTTCATACGCCTGTTTTATACACCCTATTTAGAATATAAAAAAAAAATGGAGAAACACAAGAAAAATTATTAGAAGTTGTAACACATCGGGTAACACAAATACATTATAACCCCAATCGCATCAACCATCGCTCACTTTTCCGGACACCGCGTGTATTTGCGTAATGTCGATATTAATTGATAAATCTCTGAACTGTGATCCAACTGTCTATATGACCCGGAACGGGAAATTAAAAAACAGCGCAATAATACAAACATTTCACATACCTACTTCATTTGTGCTCCATCAAAATTTGGGGTATATTGGAATACGACAAATTTCTAGCTGCTTTTGTCATTCGAAAGCCAAGGCCAGTTTAAACTTTATATAAAGAGAATAAAGTCAAATCCTGCCTATATATCTTGAACTTAATGGAATGGTAAAATTGTATAAAGAATATGGCCGTTTTTTGTCATTATCTTCCGAGATATCAAGATTGAGTCAAATGTGAGCCAGATGCAGGTGCAATTTTATTCATGCTTATCTATCATGTAAACTAGGCTACTTTGGGTTTCATGGCGGAAGCAAAGCACTGAATTTCAAATGCAAAACTTCTATTTATTCTTTTTTGACCTTGGTGAGCATGAATTTTTGTGAGTGTGAACATCTATCTTGTATGAATTTCCAAATAGAAAGCGCCACCAAGTTCACTGGATGAATAGGATTTTGGTATTCTCGGTAAAATGGCCACAGCTCTCGATAAAAAAAGGTAGTTATAACAAATATTTTTAATCGTTTATATAACTCTTGAGCCAAAATTAAGCAGGTTGGTGGAATGATATTATTTTAGGAATAGAAGTTTATTAGGTTCTATAGCGAATATGTTAGTTTTTAGTGCCATATATTAATTTTGGTATATATATATATATATTTTTACATATTTGCTTGTCAGTTTCGCGAAATATTGCATCCCTTGCGCTTGCCCTTTATAAATATAGTTAACAGTTGTGTTTTTTTTTATCTCTGTGTCGACCCTTTATTTTCTATTAAAAAATATGTAGAACACAAATATTTCGAGGTAAAAATTTAAGTAGATAGATGGGTTTACTGTATAGCAGGTTTACTATAGAGTAGTGATTCCCAAAGTGGTAGAGCCCTGGATTCTTTGATTTCCGACCCCTTATATGGTGAAAATGGGAATTTTCAGCCGTGACACCATTGCTATCAAAACAACGAAATCGCCTTTCCATCAGAAAACGGAGTGATTTGAGATGTACCTGACGAAAATGTAACTAAATATTAAAAAACTCGCTGAAGACCACCAAGCTCATGCATCTCATTAAAAAAACTATGAACTAGGATTTGTCTTCTTGTTTATTTGGTCTGTAATATAAAACCTGCTTCTGTTCGTTCATTTTTAGTATTTTTGTATTGTCGCTCTTTATTCTAAATTTAGGTTGGTTAAAGATCACTCCTTTGTTTATCTTCAGCACCTCGTCGCCGATAATTATATATTAACTCGTTTTTCTCAGTGGTTTCACAGTTCCGTATACAAGGCATATATATATGTCGAAAGCAGTTTGTGATTTGAAGAGAATATTCACCGACGTAAAGGTGTTCAAGGTCTAAATAACACATCACACTGACGAAAACAATCGGCGATTTAAAACAAATAGTAGAACGTTATTACCGACTTTTTCATTATGCTAAGAATTTCTTTTGTTCACAGTTAAAGTATATTTTATATGCCCATGAACAAAAAAAGTGTCTAAATCTAGTAACGGGCTTGCGGGCCGGATGAAACGTTGCTGCGGGCCGGATGTGGCCCGCGGGCCGCAACTTGCCCAGGCCTGCGAATGGCGTGTTTGTTATTTTTAGTTCTATATTAACATATTACAGATTGCTCCATTTTTAATTCGAAAGTAAAACATAGCACGAATGTAAAACAGGAAAAAGCGTGTACGGAATCACATCTTTTAAGTGACTTTATTATGCTAGAACTTGTTGTGGTTTTGTGTTTGACTACTCGGAACGCTTCGAAATTTTGTGTGAAACGTCCAAATACGTAATAATGCAATACGAAAATTTTCACTTTTATGTGGCGGCAGTGTGGACAAAACACGTAGCCTACTAGTCGATTTAACAAAGCGCTTTCGCACCTGATCGAAACCTAAAGGATCATAATTACTCGGTCAAGGCCCCGCCTGTCAATCAATACCATCATTATCAAACATCTGATTAAGGTGCAATCGCCGAATAAAGCAACTTCGCTTTGTATTTTCGAAAGTCAAAATCACAAACCAACATAATTTCACGCAACCTGGCAAAAAGCCGTTCCGCGTACCATCGGGTCAACTACTCATTGGGATGTAATATGATAAAAAAGCTATAAAAAGGGAAATATTATTGGCGCTCGTACCATTGTTACACAATCACATTGACTAATACCGGTACCTGCCGACCAGCTGGAAATGTACCGCGCCACTTTACCGAGCAATTTTGGCGCCGTTTTGACAATAAATGGTCGAGTTATTGCTGAAAAATCGGAAGAACAAACTTCACTTCTTAACTTTCAAATCCTTGTCACTTATGTGCGCATGTTTGAAAGAAATTAGGCGACCCTAGAAAATCTTCACGCGACCCCATTGGGGGTCGCGACCCACAGTTTGGGAACCGCTGCTAGAGAGTATATAATGTGTATAATTCGTCACGCTAATAACCGAATTGCGTAAGTCATTCTTAGCAGTTTTGAGAAAAACGTAAAAAACTTCCTAATGGTATTGATATGCCATTGGGAGTCAATAATTCGTCATAGTTCAATTTTTTGATCGTAGCCGGATTTAAGTTAATTTGTATGACGCAGTCATGTGACGTCATAATGGCGCCTGTGAAACGTCATAATGGCGTCCTGAAAATAAACAATCCAAAAACGAATGAATTCTTAGCATATACGATGTCTAATCCCTAAAATAGCTAATCTGTTTCAATTACATTTTTTTTATGTTTAAAAATATATATTTCATCAATATGACACGCTATGCACATCCACCGAAATAAGACTAAAGTTAAATATAAAGAATAAAACAGTAATGTACCCTTATATAAAAGCCAACCAAGGTAAATTGGACTCAGACAGTGAATATCACAAGTGCACGCCTTCCTATACTGTAGTATAAATTGAAATTTATAAGCGCTTAGCTAGAATCTGAGATGCAAAAACTCGAAAATCCTTCGCCGAGGTTACTTTGTGACGTCGCAATAGTCCTGCGTTAACAATGATAACAAAATATCTATTTTTATGGGTTTCGGAATTCTTAAAATAAAATCTGAGTTAACAGACAGGTGCGCAGCATTACATAAATACCTATTTTATGAAAACTCAAAACCGCCAAAAATGACTTACGCAATTCGGTTATTAGCGTGACGATATGTAGGAAGAACAAAACATAGTAAATTAGTACATAGGTAGGTAGGTTCAAGCTTTGCGATCGAAGTAGGAAAGCGGTTGAGATTGGTCTAATTTTTTATCCATGAACCTATAATTTTGATGACGCCAAATTGTTTCAGAACGATTTTTTCTAATATTAATTAGCGAGTATGTTTAATAGCGTAAAAATAAGCTCCAAGCTATGAATCAAATTTTCATCCCACTCAAGTTTCCGTGGCAATTTTTTTTTTTTTAAATTTAAGTCAGATCGTTTTGAACGGAAAGTCAAACATAAATTCTCCGTCTTAGAAATGCTTGCGAACTTATTCCGGGTCATGACGAATTGATCCAGGTGCTCTAAATCTCCTGGGTTCTGCATCGATCGTTTCATTGGCCTTTACAAAGCAATAATTTACTAACAATTATATATCGTATTTATGGTAAACCAGTTTTTCATTGCAAATTCGCCTCAAAATGATTCTTTACTGTTTGATTTATTGAGCGATCTTTTGCACAACCACCATACGTATAAAACTCTTTTACTTATTATTTCATTTAATATATTGCATTGAACAAAAATATGAAATTTATTAATATCGACAATGCAAAACAAAATGAATAAAGTATTAGGATATTGATGAACTATTCCTAATACTGTTTTGAATAAACCAAGGTGTGATATAATTCTGTATTTCAAATCTTCCTCTGTGTTGTTTTGATTGCTTGCCATTTGATTTCACTGAATTATCTAAAGCATAACATAGTGAAATTTGTGAAAATTTGTGATACGATGTAATCTTATCTTAAGCAAAATACCCACCTTATGATTTAGTAGAAACACTATCGTCACTCTCAAAATCATCCTGTGTAGATAGACGCAAACAAAATAAAATTTATCTTATTAGGCTTTTATATATATGGGATATGAGCTCTAGTAATGTTTGAAGTGATTCCAATTTATACTTATAACTCTAATACATTTGGATTATACGCTTCTGAAACGAAAGGCACACTCAAAATACATCATTGTATAATTTCATTTTTTTTTATAAATCTTCACCTCACTATATCCTACCGATGGAAAGTTATAAACAAATATTTACTTCGTATAAAGCTTCGTAATATTCGTCGTCCATTTTCTGATCTTTCTCGGACTGAAAACATTGAAATTAGGTTTATTGTTATGTAGAATCGGCAAAAAAGTTCGCGTTAAAAACATGACACAACAGCACAATAATCTGGGTATGGCTTACAAATTGAAATACTTACAGATGATTTGCATGAATCATCATCGTCACTTTCAAAGTCA